CGCGACCCTTTACAATTACTCAATCATTCTGTCATTATAAGTTACGTAGTCTGACACAATGACAGTGTCGTTAAACAAATCATGAGCTTAAAAATACGTAAATAAATAAACAATATGAGTAACAGCGAGGATTTCTTTTAATGTTTCGGTAATAATAAAAGTGTAAAATACTAACTCAGGGTAGTTTCTTTAGCATCGGAATTAAATCCACATTTTTGTTATTACAACTAAATACGCAAATTTATAGATGAATACAAATATTTATGTTTACTTCTCCAAGACACGCCACTGATCATCACCAGAAGGGACTTGAGCCCTCGCCCAGAAACTGCTCTAAATCCTGCTTATGAAATTCGTAATCTCTGAACTTCGTACTTCACACCTACGGGCGCTCCAGCGGAGGTTTGGGGGAGGGGGAGGGGAGAGACCAAGGAGATGAACTCTTAAAATTCACCAACTTTACTGAGCCAAATAAATCAAGCTCGTTGTTATCGAAAGAAGTTCGTCTCGTCTTCTCATTTTGAATATATTTTTTAAAGCTTTAAAAAGGTTCATAACGAAACAAGTTTTCGCCGTTCGTGAAAAATCCAACTCTAACTCTGAAGCACGTAATATGTAATACTGCACCAAGTCAACGCAACAGAGTTATTCTTTAGAATCTTATAGTCGCTCAGCTAGTCAAGAAACTCCCCGCCCTTTTTTGTGAGATCCAAAAAGTTCATCACCACGCTCACAACAGCCTACTGTAGGTCCGCAAACCTCAGACAGATCGCACCCTCCAACCTTACTTCCTTAAAACACATTTTAATAAAATTTAAAGAGTCCAAATTATGGAACTCCAGTTTCGTCGTGACACAAACGCGGTAAAGACGCACGTGTTGGGTCGGTCTCCACGAACAAACACTGAGGGTGCACCTGGCGATTGAATTCGACACTCGCAAGCAGACGCCACATCCGACTGAATTATATATATTAAAAATTACACGTATCACCGCCGAGTGTGCAGAATTACTTCTGTTCGCTGCTTTCATGAACGCCAAAAGTTGCTAAGAAAAAGTCAGCCGTCGGTCCAGCCCCGGTTCCGTTCCTGCAGCGAGGACTCGCGTTCTTCCATATTACTTTAAGTTCGTGGAGATTAAATAAAAAGTCTGAGAAAGTTACTTCTTCGCATTTATGGCGTGTTTATTACTCCCACAACTTTGCATTTATATGGGACTTCAAATCTGATTATCCAAAGCGAGAAGGCAACACTGAAACAGCCCTAATCAATTCTTTTGATACCTGGTGTACGAGGATAATCCACCAGAACATAAAATAAACTTCATTAGACATTCAGAAACGTAAAGGTGTACGTCCGGCAAGGCGATTCAGAAGTACATTCGGTCTGAACGGTACTCGAAGCTCGAAGGCTGACATAAAACTGCTGTCGCATTTGAATATCTACGACGAAACTTACGTAAAAGTGACGTTTAATGTATCCAGGGTTCACCGTCGCTCTCCGCTGTCTGCAATACCGAGTGAAAAGAAATATATATAGGGAGAATTATCAAGCGGTCACGACGGACTGTAGACAGAGGACGGTCCTCAATTTCGGCGCCGAGAGGAGGAGGGCGAGGTTATAACCATTCACTGTGAAGAGACAAAACGAGAACAGTGCTGAGTTTCGTGTTTCGGGTCTGGTCATCAGAAGACGGGACGAATCATTATTATATTAATGTGATTCAAACATCCTTTCGAAATGTTTCAAAGCTGAAATATCTGTGATAAGCAGTAACTGTATTCACGAGAAAAATTCTTTCATCCTACCGCCTGCTATATAAAAACCCGTAAACTGTAATTTGGTCTCTCACGCTACGCGATGCACCCAGATTCAGTTTTTTAAAAACAGATTATTTAGAGAATGTTTGGACCGAGAGAGATAAAATGACAGGCAGGTAGAGGGTAGCTGCGCCCCTCACCG